AGACTCAGGTCATAGACTTTCTGGAGTCTCAGGCAGCAGATGATAATCAGCCGGTAGTGCTGAGCCCGCCGGGTAAGCGGGCGACAGCACGGCGCACACAATTTCGATGCAAGACGCGGAGACTTGATGTGCGAATTCCGCAGAGCCTGAGCTCAATTCGCTGCGCAGCCATCTCGATTTGAGGGCGATCCACAGGAATGAGTTTAGGGAGCAGCAACGCAAGAACTACATTGCTTCAGTGCAGGCGCACTTTATGGATATCAAGAAGAGGCTGGATTACTTGGCCAATACGGCGGAGCTAGACAATGTAGACGAGTATGTGTTGCCACGGCTGCATGACTTGTTAGCAGAGGTTGACATGCCCATTGGAGCGACGACGGTATCCCCGGCCAAAGAAGTGGACCCACAGGCGCATTTGGAGTTCGACCAATCCCAGTTACATAAGCTGCACAAGGCGTGCGTGCTGCTGAAGGTCTGTAGCTTACAATGCGGCTGCCCCCACTTTCGTGGTCTTTGGCGACATCCGTTTCCTTCATGGAGTTGAATTTAAAGTGAAAGATGGGTCGCAGCCGTGCTACAATGTACACCCTAACAAGGATCCTACCTTCACTACGGTGCTCGGTGGGAAGGTTGGTGACTGGGACCATGGTGGTATAACCCGAGAGATATCGGAAGCTGAGGCAAAAGGCTATTGTGCTATGCCGCACATGGTTTTTAAGAAACCTGAGTTTGTACCATTGTCAGTCAACGACTGGTGGTGTTGTATAAACTTTAAGAAGCTCAATGATACGTTGGAGTGTGAGGAATATCCTGTGCCTACGGAGCAAGAGTTCTTGTCAGCGGTACGAGGTAAGAAGTATCAGACCATGGTTGATCGTGGGCAAGGATTCTGTCAGCTCAAGGTTGCGGAGGGGTCTCAGCATCTCTTGACGTTCTGGACGCCTTGGAGTAAGCGCACATTTGTGGGTATGCATTTTGGTATCAAGCCGGCGTCTTGGGTTATGCAGCAACGAATGAAACATGCTTTCCAAAGTGTCGACAGTCTTAAGGCCTATATTGATAATATGGGTGTGGCCGACAATGATACTAAGAGACATTGGACGAGCATCAAGGCCTTGATAGCCGCGTGCAAGAAGCATAATGTCAAGCTGAATCTGAGGAAGTGCTGTTTTGGTTTTTCCGACAGAGCAGTTCTGGCGCTGGGGCGGTTGGTGGATGAGAGTGGCTCGGCCATCAGCGACGATCGGATGGAGTCTATCTTACGCATGCCCCCACCCACAGATAAGGTCTTGGTATCACACTATAGGATTCTGGAGTCAGTACATTCCGGATTATTCCAGGATCATGGCACCTATCTCAGATCTTAGCAAGAAGGATGTCCCTTTTGTTTGGGGTCCGATCCAGCAGGACGCATATAAACGCACCCGAGCTGAGGTGGCCAAGAGGGGGGTTTTGGTTGAACATCTGTTCGATGATAAGCTGGAGATGTACTGCGATGCGTGCGACCCTGTAGGGGTGGGCTGTTTGCTCAACGAGAAAAGAAGCTCTGCCCGGTAGAATTCTGGTCGTCAAAGTTCAGCCCTGCCCAGTTAGGCTACCACATCACGGATAAGGAGGCTCTTGCCATTATGTACTGCTTACACAAGTCATGGAACATAGTCAAGAGGTCGCAACATCCACTCACGAGCTACACGAACCATGAACCGCTAGTCACGATGCTGACGAAGGAGCCGCTGTCGTACGATTCGTCGGTGAGAGATCGGAGGATGGCCCGCTATGCCCAAGTACTGAGAGACTTTGACGTAGTACTCAAGCACATACCGGGTGTGTTGAATCCTGTGGCTGATATGCAGTCGCATTTGGGCTACCACATTGACCCGATCATGCAGTTGCGGAGTGCTCCGGTCGAGGAACGAGTCCATTGGAGTGAGCCGGTGGTGGTGGAACCAAAGATGGAGTCCTATGCCTTGAGTAAGAGTTGGTTTACCAAGATATAGAAGGATTAGAATCCGACCAACTTTCATATGAAGCTGTTTTACCAGCCTACGCTGGCCAGGGGGGGGNGGGGGTGGGGGGGGGGGGGGGTGTTTGCATTGTGCACATGGAAGGGTACAAGGTGGTACTTCAACCCTAAGTGGTCAGAATTTGGCGGAGTGGTAGCCAGGATCAGGAGGGACAAGGCAACAGCTACGTTGGTTTGTCCGTACGCTCCGGAGGCGAGGTGGTTTAGGGAGATGGTACCCATGCTTTCGGCAAATCCGGTAGTGATCTACCCAAAGGAAGGAGTTTTCTTACAGCATGGCCGTGAGGTTATGCCTGCGCCTAACTTTGTGACATTGGTGTGTCACATGAGTCCGTACAGACCGCACAAGTTGCGTAAGGACCTTTGGGTGAAGCTGGAAGCGGAGCGTCCTGTCTTCGAGAGGTTAGCTGCGGCGGCAGTAAAACGTGAGGTTGAGGTTGTGTCCTGTATGGTGCAGGCAGGTACAGTGGGTGCTGTTACCCATCCGAGTGGTAAGAGGGTTAGTTGTGGGCTCCCAGCGAAAGCTGGGGTAGAGGCTACACCTATCTTTAGCGGCGGCAGTATGTGTGAGGTTGAGGTTGTGTCCTGTATGATGCAGGAAGACACAGTGGGTGTTGTGACTCATCCGAGTGGTAAGAGGGTTAGGTGCGGGTTCCCAGCGAAAGTCTCTGGCGGCGGCAGTAAACGTGAGGATGAGGCTGTGTCCTGTATGGTGCAGGAAGACACAGTGAGTGCTGTTACCCATCCGAGTAGTGAGAGAGCTAGGTGTGTGCTCCCTGCAGAGGAAGCAGGGGTAGAGACCACACCCATCTCTGCGGTAGACGCGTTTTCCACGCAGTCCTGGCAGGATCCCAGCGGAGTGCTGGAGCAGTCTGTACGCAAGGCGGAAACCTAGCAGGACGAGTGTGACGAGTCTCAGGCTGAGGGGTCTATAGGAGCTATGTACACTCGAAGCCAGAGTGCGGAGTCTCCGAAGCTCACTAGGAGACAGAGAGACTCGGCCGAGATTGTCGACATGCTGCCTGTTCAGGGCGACATGGATCTGGATGAACCAGAGGTTCAGGAATCTCTTAGTGCTGAGGAACGTGCTAGGAGGGAAGCAGACCCCGTGGATGAGAATGAGGAAGATGAGCGCTCGGTCTTCGGGGTGGAAGTGGGGGGTACAATTGTGGAGCGGATTGTACGTTACACCCACGAGCTATTTGCGCACGCAAGTGCCAAGCGATTGGACCAGCTTGTACGCACATTGTGGGGTTGGAGTGGCACCATGGAGTGCACTCATGTGCGACAAAGATGCGACGCGTGTCAGGATGTGTCGGATGACTGGTCCTAATGTGGATGGTCCGGCTGTTGTTCGCTTCATGGAGGAGCAAGTATTAGCGTAGGGTTCACCGGTGCGACTGGTGATTGACGCGGACAAGAAGTTTCAGAACGGGGATGTTACGACCTTCTGCCAACGTCGCAACATAGAACCGCACTGGATCACGGTGGATCGGCATCAGAGCAACGGGCGACCAGAGACCCTTATCAGAACGATGAAGGACTGGTTGCGCAGGGAGATAGAAGCAGCAGATGTTTCTCCGCATGCATAGTTGCACCTGGTCTATGAAATGGTGAGGATCTACAATGCTACGCGTAATTCGGCCACGGGTTTCTCGCCCTTTTTTATCTGACGGGCAGAGACTTCAACGTTCAGAAGCGACTGGAGCTACAAGATCGGGTGTTGTCGCTGCTGGAATCGGAGCAGGGCACTGAGGCGATGGTCCGCGATGCTGTAGCAGCCATGCGGGACCGTCGTGCTCAGTTGGGACAGCAGACTCGTGCCAACATCAGGCGTGAAGATGTGCCGTTGTTGCCGGTTGGTTCGCAAGTATAGTATCGGTTGCGCGGCAAGTCACACGACCTGTCAGCCAGGTGGGGTGGCCCAGCGCAGGTGGTGTCAGTGCAAGCTCCACTCACTCATGTGGTGGAGATGGCGGATGGTATTCACCGCAGGTTTCTTAGGGCGGAGTTGAAACCGCACATTGGGAAACTCCCGAAGGAAGCAGATGCGAGGACACACATGCGTTATCGCCCGAATAGTCCGTATGAGGATTGGCTCCTATACCACTCGCCGCTTTATGACAAGAAGGATGGGTACAAGCAGACGATAGGACACTGCCTTCGTCGAACCAAGAAGGCGCGTACGTGGTCTACTGGCATGAGCTCGGTCTGGGGCAGGTGGCAGATGTGGTGTGACGAGGCGGACCTGGAGTGCTACACACTGTTGGTACCAGGGTCTAAGGGTCAGCATGTGCTTCACAAGTGATACAACAAGCTGTTGGAGAGCATGTTCTCGGATGAGAAGTAGAGAGCACACTTCAAACGCCAAGTAGAGAAGTGCTTTGCCTTTGCTTAGTCTGGAACGTACAGGCGAGGACGCCTCCGGGCTTGGGGCGAGTTGCAGTTGTCCGAGAACAGAGTAGAAGTGCCAGCTCGTCATTAGTTGCCGTAGTGAAATCCTCAAGGGTGAGGTAGGGTGGACGAACTCCACCTCCCAAGTGGGGGTGGAAAGTAAGCCTCTCTGGATGCGCACACGATGTGCGCATAGGTTGATTTTCTTTTTTTTCTTCTTTTAGACGTACACGGGGCAGGGTCGCTAGGCGACTGTGCTCAGACACAGTAAGGCTACGACGGCGCCTCAGGCAAGCTATGCCGACACGCAATCGTAGCGAGGGGTTATGATTGACTGTGAACTGAGCCCTAGGGTTTTAGGGCTAGGTTTTGGCCGACCCAAATCTTGGCCAGGATTTGGGCCGACCAGACCTGACAACAGTTATCAAAATATCTGTGTCATCATTATTTGTGAGGATTCACACATGTGAAGTCGCATGGTCATAATGCCATGTGAATTTACACGGTCATAATGTTTGAGTACACAGAAGTGGCGTGTGGCACATAAAGTGCCACAAGCTACATCACTAATCTAACGAACTGTATTAGGCAGTAATAACAAATTGTAGTGTAAGTGTAATAATGAGCCAAGATGTACTCGCAG